GAAAAAAAACATTATTGAGTAATGATAAATGATGATATCTACTGAACTTTTGAAATTGGTACACTTTAACCGACAATAACTGTGCTATATCGAAACTGATCAAAAATATGCAAACTAACCCAAACTTACCCGTCTTTGTACTGCGTGCTAGTCCCCGTAAACCTATCTAATCGAGAATTACAAAATAATGCAAAACAACCCAAATTAACCCATTCTTGAAACGCATGCTAGTATCCTTGAACATTTTTATTTTATCTAGCTTGTCGCGCTTGGTTGTCGTTGTTAATCAGTACACTGTATCCAGTTTTAGATAGATTTTTCTTGAAAACTAATATAATCCGCATATTTTTTTATTGAAATCGGTCCAAAAAGGCTAACTACAACATTAGGAATACATCTTATAAGAAACTACGTGTTGCACTAAAGCGTTTTTGAATGTCATTAGGTTCTTCATAATAGCACTAGTGCGTTTAAGAATTTATAAAAACACCCAAATTATGAAATGAAAAATATACAAAAAGAAAGCTAGTTACCAGAAGAACCTTTTCATTGATGCTATCGCGACATTCGAAGGGACACTTTAGAACTCATAATCACCAATATTAACATTATTTTCCACTATAAAACTTAATTTATGGCACAAAAATTGACTCCAATATTGAAGCTGCCAAAGTCAAAATTCTAAAAATCAACAAGCAGGTTCCCGACTTGTACGGGCACCTGGTAAATTTTGAATTTTAATTTGAAAAGTTTTTGCTATTTCAAGGCAAAGCAAATCTATTTGGACCATTGTAGATTAAATTTTGAATGATACACGTTCGATATGAACTTTATATATGGTGTTCATATCGAACTAGTATCATTAATAACTATTATATTAAATACATAGATACTAACAGATTAATAAATTTATATCCTACTGAACTATTAAAACCATATAATACCTTGGTTACGATAATCATAAACAGGGTCTTAACTCCCAAGGGAGTTAAGGATTTTCATAACTCCCAAGGGAGTTAAGGAAGGGAGTTTAGGATATCATACCTCCCAAGGGAGTTAAGGATTTCCATAACTCCCGCTTTTACCTTGAATAGGTAACGCTTTGACAAAAAATAGAATTTTGATTTATGGCTTATTCCTTTATAAAAATAGACAGAATACAGTAAATTCAGTAGGATATAAAATTATCTATGTACCACGGGAATTATCAGGAGTTAATACCCACGGGCAATTGGTGTCCCTCGGGCCGGAGGCCCTCGGGACACAAACGTTGCCCTGGGGTATTAACACCTGCATAATTCCCTTGATACATAAATAACTATAATGCATCTCTTGTGTGAACTTTTGGTTTTTTCCTCACGCCTGTAGAAAAAATAGTGTATCTTGCACGTGCGGAAAAGTGGCACTTTCCGCACTTGTTAGGTAAACTACTATTTTATGCACGACAAAAAAAACGACAAATTATTCACTTAATAAAACTTCTGTAGGAATATCGTGTGACGTTGGTAGTGCTAACTTGATATCAAGCTAGCACTACCAGGGTATTTAAGAAAAAAAAAAGCGATTTTTTTTTTTTTTTTGCATGACAAATTGTGTTTTGGTGTTTTGGGACAAAAATATCATATTTTTGATAAAATTAAAAAAAATGAGAATTTTATGATAATTTTTTTTTTTTTTTTTTAATATTTTAATTTTCAAGAAAATGTTTTACTTAACATTTTGATAGAATTTTGGAAAGCAATTAAAGACATTGAATGAGCTTTGTTCTATGTGTTCAAACATTAATTTGTTTGCAATTTGCAAGCAAGAAGTGTTCGTGGCAGGGTTTGTTGGTATCGGGCGGAAAATACACAAAATGGATTTTTGAAACTTGGAAATAAAGCCTGTTTTTTTTTAAAGATAATTCTCCAAGTCAAAAATTTAGTAACTATGTGGCAACACAAGCCTTTTCTACATAAAAAATTTGAAGCATTGACAATTTACATTGTATTGCCAACATAATGTCATTTTGACTTTTATCTTTAAAAAAAAAACAGACTTTGGGTTCAAAATTTGAGACCTGTTCAGTCCTTGCCTTGCTGAATAGCCCTCTCTATATTTATTAAATGCAAGGTACAGGGTGGGCCAATTTGGACACTTTTAATAGGAAACGTCAATTTCTGAGCGAGATACAAAAAAATGGACCCCCCACTCTGAGGCTCAAATTTTATCTTGATTGGTGCAAACCTCGCTTTTATATCTTCAACTGTTTAGCCGCTAGAGGGCGATTCTCGATTTTGAGCAATAATGTGAAACCTCCATAACTTTTTTGTTTATGAAAATAATTGATTTCCGTAAAAACTTTCTAGAAGAACTTTTTGAAGCAGAATTCAGTGACGTTCTCAATTTTTTTCTAGTTGGCTCCAGCTTCGAAATATTGACCAAAGTCCGGTTTTTTTCAATAGGATACTCTATATGTACAGGGTGGTCCATTTAACTTGAGACAGTCTAATATCTCGAAAACGGTGCGTTTTTGAAAAAAAAAGTTCAAATAAAAGTTACATGGTATCATGTAGGAAACAAAATGGCGGTACTGATTTTTGACTTTGACAACGTTTTCAAGGTTATTTCAAGGTCAACTCTTTTTTTCCAATGGAAATATATTTTTTTATTACAGAATCTTATTCTACAGAAAAAAACAAGTAACTTTTACTTGAAGCATTTTTCGATACGGTTTCAATTTAAGCTGATAAAAAAGAACGAATATTTTTTTTGTTTTCTCCTCACAAAATCGAACAGTAGAGAAAGGTTACCAAAAATACCTCAAAAACTATAACAATTGATCAAAATGATGATCGCCAACTTCAACACATTTGTCAATTCACTTTAAAAATCAAACACACAGTTTATCAAGAGGTTCCCACAACACCGGATAATATGATGGAACACATAAGAAATGCTTAGAGCTGTCAGTAAAGAAACTGTAATTTGGTGCCATGAAAGCTTTTTACAGCGAATTAACAAGTGTGTTGAAGTTGGCGGTCGTCAATTTGATCAATTGTTATATTTTTTGAGGTATTTTTGGTAACCTTTCTCTACTTTTCGATTTTGTGAGGAGAAAAAAAAAATTATTCGTTCTTTTTTATCAGCTTAAATTGAAACCGGATCGAAAAATGCTTTGAGTAAAAGTTACTTGTTTTTTCCTGTAGAATAAGATTCTGTAATAAAAAAATATATTTCCATTGAAAAAAAAGAGTTGACCTTGAAATAACCTTGAAAACGTTGTCAATGTCAAAAATCAGTACCGCCATTTTGTTTCCTACATGATACCATGTAACTTTTATTTGAACTTTTTTTTTCAAAAACGCACCGTTTTCGAGATATTAGACTGTCTCAAGTTAAATGGACCACCCTGTATATTAATAGCTTATTGGAAAGCTCCGATTTCAATGATTTAAAAATCGATAGGTTTATCTTGAACAGTTTCTGAGAAAAAATAGTTATTTATGCAACAAGTGTGTAAAGTGAACCTTTTTTTACGAATGTGAATTTTGACAATCGAATGAGTGAAAAAAGTTTCTTTACGCACAAACAAATTTTTTTCTACTACCAACCCAATATGTGTAAAAAAATAGATTTAGACAAAAACTTTACGCACTAGTGCGTGAAGTATTTTCACTTTACGTACTAGTGCGTGAAGTAATTTACCAGAAAAATGCTAAATTGATAGTGTCGACATCTGTCATTGTCATTACCTTACGCACTAGTGTGTGAAATGAATTACTTTACGCACTAGTTCGTGAAGTAAAACTTTACCTCTTCTGAGTAGTGCGTAAAGTAAGTACTTTACGCACGGTAGTAGAAAAAATTATTTTGGTTTTTGTCATAAGAAACAATGTGTTAGAAAAAGACATTTCTCATTTTCCTCACAGATATAAAGTCCTTTTCTAACACATTGCTTCTTATGAGAAAAACCGGAATAATTTTTTTTCTCGAAAACGGTTAGAGATAAACCTATCGAACTTTATTTCATTAAAATCAGAAAAAATCATAGCTTTTCAATGAGCTAATAACATAAAGGGCGTCCTATTGAAAAAAAACAGACTTTGGTCAATATCTCAAAATCGGCGCCAAATAGAAAAAAACTGAGAACGTCACAGAATTCTGCTTAAAAAAGTGCTTCCAGAAAGTTTTTATGGAAATCAATTATTTTTATAAACAAAAAAGCTATGAAGGTTGCACAATATTGCTCAATATCGAGAATCGCCCTCTAGCGGCTAAACGGTTGAAGATATCGAAATGCGGTTTGCACCAATCAAAATTTAATGAAATTTGAGCCTCAGAGTGGGGGGTCATTTTTTTGTATCTCGCTCAGAAATTGACGTTTCCTATTAAAAGTGTCCAAATTGGCCCACCCTGTACAGTAGAACCCCGATTATCCGAGTTATAATTATTCGAGCTCAGGGCGCGTACTTCGAAACTAGTGGAAAGGAAATGTCTTTCTACCTTGGAAAAAAAAAGAAAAATGCACTCTCTAAGCTTCGATCGGCAGCGCTCGTTCTCCGAAGGGTGTATTCGGGATTTGAGAATAGGAAACGTCTTTTGGCTTGTTTCTTCGCCATCTCCCATATCTTCTTTCTCTGTCTTGCTTCAGTTTGATGTTTGAAAAATCATCTACCTATCTTTTTCTAGAGGATTGAGGATTCGATTTTTATAACATAACCAAAAAAATATTTGTTTGTATTTGATACTGTGATACTGTTTAAACTAATTAAGGCTTTGCTGAATTTATTTACACAATGGGTACGTAGACATTCTACTTCGGCTACAGCATTTTTGTATTACTTTCTTTTTAGATGGAAATGATCGAAATGTTAGAACAAATGTGGAATAGTGGAAGGTAATAGTTGATTATTTAGAGCAAAACCCTATTTTGGTTAAAAGCAAATTCGAAAACTATGATTGCGATAGTAGAGAGCTGAAAAAAAAAGTGGGATGATTTAGTCACATTTCTAAATTCCATGGGACTTGGCAGTCGATCTATCGAAAAATGGCAATTGGTAAGAAGTTATATTAAAATACCCCAAAAAATATTGTACTAAACCAATTTCAAATTGTTCTCAGGCAATCGCACGTTGGAAATCAAAGACGAAATCAAAGTCTGCAGCAATGAAAATTGCAATACAAAAAACCGGTGGAGGTCCCAGCAAAACCCCTCAGTTAAATCCCATCGAAGAGAGATTGATGTGTTTGTTGGGTTGGAAATCGGTCACTGGGGATGAAAATATAGAGATAGGGCTGGTAAAAATTTTGATTTTATTATAACTACTGTTCTGTCGGGAGAAAAAAGCAGACACCGAAATGGTTTTAAAAAAAAGTTTCAATAAATTATAGTTTTGAATGATAATATTAAGCAATTGGAAATTTTGTTTTTATTTTAGTTAAATTTTAATGAATGAATGTCAAGAATATTATTTTATTTTTAGAAATTACCTGTGGCAGAGAGAAAACTCGCCAGAGACAAAACGCCAGTTCAGAATGAGGTAGAGGTCCTCAGAGATGGAACAAAATCTCCTCCACCATTAGTTGCTATTAATGAACCACAAAAAGTTGTTAGAGCACCAGTGGTGAAAGCGATACCACCACAAAGAAGAAAAGCTGTGAGTGTTAGAACAACAACAGAAAAAAGTAAAAAATTTGTGTCAATGAATAGAATGCACACAGAACACATGGAGAAACTAGTGAAAATTGAGCAATATACTTCAGTTATGTCACAGGCACTTCTTTCTATCAGCCAGGATTTCAAAAGGCTTGTTGATAGCGCAACTGACAAAAACTGAAGAGAAAATTCTATTAAAATGTTCCTGTTGATAGGTTATTTTTTTTGTTATTAGGTATCTAATCGTAATGTAAATGTACTGTTGCTTAATTTCTGAATTTGGTGATTTTTTTTGAGTTCCTTTAGGTAGTTAGTATTTCAATAGATTATTATTTTTTGTTATTAGGTACCTAATGTGACTGTTAGTTTATTTTAGGCTAAGCAGAATTTGTGATTTTTTTTTGAGTTCCTTTAGGTAGTTAGTTTTTCAATAGATTATTATTTTTTGTTACTAGGTATCTAATGTTACTGTTACTATTTTAGGCTTAGCAGAATTTGTGATTTTTTTTTAGAGTTCCTTTAGGCATCAGTTTTCCAAGAGATTAATATTTTTTCTACGAGTGTGCGCAAAGTAACTACTTTGCGCACACTTTTGCGTACGCAAAGAAGCCCTTTCCCAGAAGTGTGCGCAAAGTAACTACTTTGTGGACACTATGCGGGAATTTCTTTTTCCCGCACACTTTTTTTTCTGGTACCCATAATAAAATCTGGGGACCCCCTATTTGGGGGGCAAAGCCCTGCGGGAGCCCCATATTTGGGGGGCGGAGTCCCGCGAAACACTTTTTTGAGGGGCACAGCCCCGTGGGGCCCCTTTTCAGGAGGCGAAGCCCCGCGAGAGCCCTATATTTGGGCGGCGGAGCCCTATATTTGGGCGGCGGAGCCCTATTTTTGGCTGCGAGAGCCCCATTTTTGGGGGCGGAGCCCCGCGGGAGCCCCTTTTTTGGGGGGCACACCCAATAAATCTCTCAATGCAATTCCTTGCCCTTGTCAAAGCAGCAGTATTCCTTCCTTCAGGAGAATCAGCTGGCATACCTCCTATTGGTGTCATTAACCAAGGCTCTTGAGGGTATCCACTATCACCAATTAGCCAACTATTTCTGTCTCCTCTATTGTAGTTATCTTCGAGATGTTGTTTGATGGCAGAGTTTCTCCAAACAAATGCATCATGCGTAGCACCTCCATAATTTGCCTTTACATTCAAAATTACTGAATTGATGTCGCAAATCAACTGCACATTCTTCGAATGGTACCCCTTTCGGTTAAAATACAAATGTTCGTCCTCTACTGGTTGAGCGATTGCTATATGGGTGCAGTCAATACACCCTATTGTCCCAGGCATTCCACTACTATCCATAAAATCTTTTTTTTTTGGGCTTTGTCTCTTTGGTCCTCTGGAAACTGAATACAACGAGGAGCAATAGCTTCCAGGGCTGTACAAACCTCAGACAAAACCCTGCTAAAAGTCTGCTGAGCCATGGCAATATTGGCTTCATTCCCTACAGATCGCTGGTAGGATCCCTGGGCAAAAAATCTAAGAGCAGCCATAATTCTTGTCTCCACTGGTATTTTTGAATTTCGATTTCCAGGAGCCATGTGCGGAGTGAGCTCTTCAATAAGACTTCTTGCCAAGTCCTTGCTGAGTCTAAAACAGCTTCTAAACTCCTTTTCGGGAAGTTCAAAAACATTAGTTTGGTCTCGCAAGCGTCTTCTCTCTAGCCTTAGTTCTCCCCCGCGTTCTTCTTTCTCCAATATTTCCACAAAATGCATGAATAGTGGATCCATCCTTGAAGATCCAAGGTAATAGTTAAATAAATAACTCTGCACTACAAACTTTAAAATAACTATACGATTTAAGATAAAAAGGACTTTTAAGAAATTTTTATATTTTCACTATTTTCTACAAATTTTGATAATACTGACAATCAGGCCTATGATGTATCATTTTCTGTTATTTTAACGGCAACGTTAAGTTGCCTGTTTATTCTATACATCAAAATAGAGAGAAGTATAGATGTTGAGTTATAACATAGCTGTTAAAATAACAGGGTCTTTATTCTTGAAACAGGGGAGCAGCGTTCCCAGGAGAACGAGTGTTCAGTCTTTCTCAATGATATGCAACTGATAATATAAGTAACAGAAACGGAACACTCGTTCTCCTGGGAACGTAGCTCCCCGGTTTCAAGAATAAGGACCCAGGAGTGGATACATCATAGGCCTGATTGTCGTTTGTTATACGTCATACAAAATCAAAACAAAACCCTATGTTTTCAGAATCTATTGTATGTAATTTTCGACAGACGAATGTTTCCGAATGGATTTGGAAAAGGCCATTGGGAGTAGGTTAAGTTAAACCTCCATTAGGCGCGCGAGTTTTTCTAATACATGAGAGGCACAAATAAACCGCAAATGGGTACAATCACCATATAAACCATAACATAACTAGAAATTACAAAATCAAAATAGGAAAGCCCAAGCCTCAAGCCCCAAGCCCCAACCACAACAACACAACACGAACACAAACTCAAGTCAAATCCTCTCCGCTCCGCCGTTCATTGCAGCAAGACAAAAGATAAGTCACGTCACAAGTCAAGCACGGCACGGTCGGCATGCGTTCGATATCACGGTTGTTGGTTCGAAATTATCTTCAAGCGTAGGGACTACACTACAGACCATAGAGAAATATAATAAACCAAGGTGAGAGTTACCGTTTCTGTGGTGCGACACTGGCATCGCGATGACGTCATATCGATACTAGCGCCACTATCCACTACAAGACAAACTTAAATAATATTTGGCGGGCTTTTTGAATTTTTAAATTATAGTTTTGTTATTTTTGAAGGTAGAAATCTAGCCCAGCGTTTTTCCGCAGTCGGCAGAAAAAAAATTGTGGAAAAACGCTGGCCGGGAAACAAAAATAAATAATCAAAACATGTTCATGAAGTAATCTATATATTTTGATCTTTGACAATTAACAAAGAATAATAAAAATTAAATTATACATAAATAACACTTTGTAACTAATAAATTGAAAAAAAAATTACAACAAAAAAAAGCAAAAGCGGTAGGTAATGGTAGGTTAGTATTTAATTATCATTTTTTATGCACGAACTTAAGGATTTTAACATTCTAAATCTTACCAGAATCATGTATTTTTAATAAACTAATTAATTTAAGGTTCACTTATTTCTATCAGTTTTGAAAAATGAAAATGTCAATTTATGGGTTAGAAATCGAAATGTAATAAATAAAAACCGTATGTCCTCTCACTCCCCTCTTCCTTTATTATGATATCTCTTAAAAAGAGACAGATATAAGAATGGGAGGCGATGTCCGAATTGTCAGATAGTTCCAAGCTATACTAGCGCCACCATGGGCTACAAGAAATACGTTGCCACTTGGCGCATATGAATCGGTAACTCTTACCTTGGTTTATTATATTTCTCTATGCTACAGACCTTACTGACTACACCGACCAATACACCGACACTTTGGTCACTTTGCTCTCGCTTAAAGCCAAGGGTTCTCGAACGGCGACCCAATAATCATAAACGGCGACCGTTCCCTGGGGCGCATTCACGATTCGGCAACCCGGGTTATATTCTACCTAGGTAAATCTTACTCGGGTAGTTGGAGTGACTTAACTAGAAAACACGTACAATACGTTTATTTTTAATAATAATTTGTCAGTTGTTAGGGTTAGGTTAAGTTTAAGAAACTCCAAAAGCACCCTGTCCGTTCGGAAGCACTTAGGCCACGTGATAAAAACGCCACTCCAACTCTACTCCAGCTCTGCTCGGCTATCCCGAACCCAGCTAGGGATACAGGGGCCGGATTATGAACATCCGATACGTAAAAGTTTCCGAGTCGAAGGCAAACAAACTGAGTCACTTTCTAGTGACGCACTTTAAGCACTCCTGAGCTACTCTAGAGCGCCCCGAACTGTTCATAGGCGAGTTTCGCGCAACTGGGCTGTTCGTTTTTCCTCTCCCTTGCCCTCTCAAGCCCCTGCAATTTTATGGGTACATCCAATGAACTATAGCCAAAAACTGGAATGCGCACTCATTGCCATATCTGCCAAAAAAATGTAGCCATGAAAGACAGATGCTACAAAGGGGAATGTTGTTTTTTTCTGTTGCTTGCTGACATATGACGTTTTGGAAAGTTTTGTCATATTCACCTTCACAGGTTTCATCAATTGGAATACGTCTTGGAAGCAATTTCCGCCATTTAACTTAATGAGTGCGACAAAAACAGGTATCCCCTCCGCAGCTTCACGTTCGTCAATATGTGTTCGCATTCCAGTCTTTGGCTATAGTTCATTGGGTACATCAAATACACGACGCTCAAAGTCGGGTGCGTTCTAAGCCGCTTTCCAGGATGGGAGTGTGACGCCCGGAGCTACTCGGGGCGTCATGCCCCTGAGCTGTACGTAACGGGTCGGATACTGGAACGCCCAAATTAAGTAAATACACGCCAGCGTCATTCTATAACCTGTCAGCTGTCACTGGCTATTATTTTTATTATTTAAACATTTCTTGTTTATTAAAATTATTGAATTTTCATTAAGTTTTCTTGTGTTCTTTTCAAATAGAAGTGTTAGAAGTTGTACAACTAAGTAGTCCGATTAACCAGAGGACTTTGTTGTTTGTGAAAATGGAACAAGAATTCATTGTAAGTAATCAAATTTTTATACACATAACTTCTAAATTGCAGTTGATTTTTTTGTTAAAAAATGTTAGTATTTATCTAGAATTATCCTTTAGGAATGGGTGATGCAAAGCAGTAGCCCAATACCTAGTGATAGTAGCTCTAGTACTAGTGAAGACAGCAGTGAGGAAAATGCAGAAAGGAGAAGAGGTGTCAAGAGAGTTAGAATAGAAAATTTTGTGGAGCAAATAGTACCAACATACTGATATTACTTTCAAGGAACTATTTCAAATGTCAAAAACCACCGTTCATTCACTTATAGGTAAAATTTATATTATAGAAATGAAACATAGGCATTACAAATGTATTTTTTCCACTATATATCTATATGTAACGGTTAAAGTTAGAAGGGCGTTTAAATTAAAAAAAAGTTGCCATTTTTGAAGGATATTGATATATAAAATAAATAAATAAATAATCTTCATACTGGCCCTCCTTATCTTGGACACATTGTATATACCTATGTTTTATATTGATTGATTGTTTGTTATAACAATCTCATTTTTTTTTGTATTCTAGAGAGATTCAAAGAAAGTCACCACCAGCCCAGTAACAGAAATAAAATTGAGATTTCAGAGACAAAAT